TCGTGTGTTACTAAAGCATTGCGTTTTGGCAAAAAAAAAAAAAAATACTATTAAAGCCAAGACTTGGCTTGATAAACCTTATTCGGAGTTTTGCACCAGGAAAATCAACCGTAGAGAAGTGGTTTGCTAAATTTAAACTAGGCGAATTAAGCACCGAGGACGATACACGCATTGGACGCCCCAAAGAGGCTGTTACCGACGAAAACATCCAAAAAGTCCAAAAAATAATTTCTGATAACCGTAAAGTGAAGTGGATTGAGATAGCTGATACCCTAAAGATATGAAAGGAACGTGTTGGACATATCGTGAAGGAATATTTGGGTATGCGAAAGCTCTGCTCAAAGTGGGTGCTGCGCAGAGCTCACAATCGACCCAAAACAACAATCAATTGATGATTAGAAGCAGTGTTTGGAGCTGTTCAATCGTAATAAACCCGAATTGACAATGGATGAAACGTCTCTATAAAATGATGGAGCCATCATTTTACACCGAAGTCCAATCGACAGTCAGCCTAGTGGACTGCACGTGATGAACTCTAAAAACGCTATAACTTCACTGAAAATGCTATAACTTCACTAAAAATTCTATAACTCACATACTAATAGCGCAACAGCTGTCAAATTTATACACCTGTCTTTTGAAGGTTAGGGCTAACTACAAATTATACGGAATTAATACTAGTAGCGACATCTATGTGTCAATCTACGAACTTTGCAGCCCACCTGCTAAGTCTAAATAACTTGCTAATCCCTGACACTACAGCCCATAGTGGGCCAAGGCCGTCTGACTATTGGCACATTTCAAGAAAGAAAATATTTTTCTTTTTAATGGGTGGAGTTGCCAGTTCTACGCCTCTAGTCATATTAGACTAAGACCTACGATTTAAAGTGGATTAGAACCATTACAAACATCCATGGTCGGCACAACCCGAAAATTGTGGCACACATCATCGGAGCCTCAGTCGCTTGGACATTAAGCTGCAGACATTATGAATCACATTTCAAAATGAACGTTTATTTTCCAAAAAGAATTTTGTAAAAAATCAAAATAATGTACGAAGAATATTTAATAATAATATATATATGATAAAATGATAATAAATTATATATATATGATTATTAAATCTTAATCAAATAATTAATTTACGTACATATGCGTACATGATAATATTTTCATTTATTCCTTGAGAACTGCAAAAAAAAAAAAAAATAAATACCTATATAACATGACCGTTTTTATAAAAGCAGAAAAAATGTGGGTTAATTGCCTACTAAATTAACCGTAATACGTTTACGTAGTTTATCATATGATGTTTATCTCTTAGATGTTTCTCTCTTCTATTTAACGAAGGAAAATTCTTAAAATGCTCAAGCTAAATGTTTAAATTATTTAAAAACGTATTTTTTGCAGCCTTTGTTCATTAAAAAGGAATTCTACACTAATTTTATTACAATTTTAAACAATTTATGTAATTAATAAAAGTGTAGGTGTAGTGCTAAATTATCATTTCATTAAATTTCTAATATTATTTTTTAAAATTATTCCCATTTGTCCTAAACATTTAAAAATAATTTGCGAATTATTTCATATTTTATTTTACGAGCCTCTGTCGCTCGGTACCACAGGTTTCGGATTTGAGTACCGGCGGTGCCATGGATGTTTATAGTGGTTCGGAATCCACTTTAAACCATAGGCACTGGTCTAATATAACCGTAGTGTATTTTGGGGGTGGTTTCAATCGTATCTGTAGCATGTCTTCAAGCTACACGTGATCTCTGTTTAGTATTAAATAAGTAACGTCGATGCTGTCCTTGCTTATGTCGTAGAAACTAACTGTATCTGTATTGCCAGCTGCATTAGAAAAAAAAATTATTTTATTTCTTCATTATTTTTTTTTAATTTAAAAAAAAAAAAAAAAAAAAAAAAACGAAATCGTAAAATTAATTAAACGCTTCTTTTGAATATAAGATTAACTAATATAATAATTATTATTTTAAGAAATCTTTGAGTATTACGAAAAAAAAAAATTCTTAATACAATTAAAGTAAAATCGAATTCACGAATTAAAAATTATAGTATTTCTATTTTTTTTTCCAGAAATTGGTTTACGTACAATTAAATTAAGAGCATTTTCTCATTCGAAATTACTTTGTATCCTTCCGCCTAAAATGTAACACTAATTAAATAAAAATTGCTTTTAATGCATTTACTGTTTAAAAGTTCTATTAAATTTCTGACTTGTAGAGGACTTTATATTCCATAATGAAAAGTACTGAAAACTATAATAAAAAATCAGGGGCCTGAATGGTCGGGTGGCTGGCGCTCTGGCGCTCGGTACCACAGGTTTCGGGTTCGAGTCTCGGATGTGCCGTGGATGTTTGTAGTGGTTCGGAATCCACCTTAAACTGTAGGTCCCGGTCTAATAGAATCGTAGAGCGTTGCGGGGGCATTGTGACTCCGCCTCCGTGGCTTATCCTCAAGTTACACGCGCCACCTGGGTAATGTGAAGTGAGTAACGTCTTTGCAGCGCTTGCCTTAAAAGACCAAGCTGTCTGTGTTTGCCAGCTGCATTAGAAAAAAAATAATAATAATAAACTTATTTTCTCTTGCCAAAATTTTAAAAATACAATTTAATGCTATCACTTTAGATTTCGATTTATGTATAATTATTTTTAAAAAAAATATTTTTTACCTTAAAAATACTACTTTTAAAAAAAAATTAATTCGAAACTAATTTTATGGCAATTTAAAATAATTCATATAGTTACTAAAATCACAGTGTAGCTCTTACTTATCCTTTAACTAAATTTGTTATATTATTTTTAAACTAATATTTTTTAAATTAATATTATTTTTAAATTAATATTATTTTTAAATTAATATTATTTTTAAATTACTATTTTTAAATTATATTTTTAAATAATTTTTGAATTATTTCATATTTTTTTTTTACGTCTTCTATATTTTTTAAATGAAATCTTGTAATTCTTTAAGCGTTTTTTTAAATATGAGATTAATTTAATAATACATAGCTAAAAAAAATAAATAGCGAAACTAATTCTTTAAAAAATCTTTGAGTATTACAAACAAAAATATTGCTTTTTCCTAAAATAATTAAAGTAAAATTAAATTTACATATTTAAAATTATAGTGTTTCTTTTTTTCAGAAATTTCATTTACATTCAATTAAATTAAAAAACTTTTCACATTCGAAATTACTTTGCACCCTTCCGCTTAAAATGTAGTACTCATCCAATAAAAATTCCTTCCAACTCATTTATTTTGAAAAAAATTTTTTATGTTTCTGTCTTATAAAAAACCTTTATAATCCATAATTAAAAATATTGAACATTATAATGAAAAATATATAGTAGCTTACGAAAATCTTAAAAATGTTATTTAATGCAATCACTTGTATCACTTTAGATTACAATTTACCAGTTTAATTATTTTTAAGAAATATTTTTTACGGTAAAAACACTATTTTTTTTTATTAAAAATAAATTCGTAACTAATTTTATGGCATTTTAAAATAATTCATGTAGTTACTAAAATCGCAGTGCAGCGCTTACTTATCCTTTAACTAAATTTGTTATATTATTTTTTAAATTAATCTTATTGGTAAATTATATTTTTGAATTATTTCATAATTTATTTTACATCTGCTATATTTTTTAAATGAAATCTTTAGTTCTTTAAACTCTTTTTTAAATATGAGATTAATTTATCCCTTTTTTTATAAAAATAAATGTCGAACATAATTATTTTAAGAAATCTTTGAATATTACAAATAAAAGACGTCTATACTTAAAATAATTAAAGTAAAATCGAAATTTACGTATTTAAAATTACAATGTTTCTATTCTTTTTTCAGAAAATTCATTTACGTTCAATTAAATTAAGTCTTTTCACTTTCAAAATTACTTTGTATCCTTTCACTTAAAATGTAGCACTAATGCAATAAAAATTCCATCAAATATATTTATTTAAAAAAAATTTCTTTTAAATATTTGTCTTTAAAATACTTTATATTCCACTATTAAAAATACCGAACTGTTATTAAAAAAAACCTATTTTCGCTTACTAAAATTTTATAAATGCGATATCACTTTTATCACTTTAGCTTTTAATTTATCAATTTAATTATTTAAAAAACAATTTACAGAAAAAATGCTATTTTTTCATTAAAAATAAATTTGGAATTGGCAATTTAAAACAATTCATATATTGTATTTATTTTTGTTATTTAAATTAAGGAGTAAAGCTATTATTATTATTATAAGCAATCTACTATTAAAAATTATTTTAAGAAATCTTCGAGTATTACAATTAATTATTAAGAATAATAATTATAGTTATTATTTTTAATTTGTAATAAAAATAAATTGGAAACTAATTTTATGGCAATTTCGAACAATTCATATATTTTAGTTATTATAATTTAATTTAAGGCGTAACACTATAATTATTATAAGAAATCTATTATTTAACATTATTATAAGAAACCTTCAAATATTACAATTAATTATGAATTAATAATACTAATTATTATTATTTATTTTCAATAAAAATGAATCTCTAAAATAAGTATTTTAAAAAATATTTGAATATTACAATTAAAAAAAAGTTTTATTTTAATAAAATGAAAGTAAAATCAAATTTAAGTAGTACAAATTATTTTTTTTTTTTTTTTTTTTTTAGAAAATTCATTTACGTTCAAATAAATTAAAAGACTTTTAACACTCGAAATTACTTTGTATCCTTCCGCTTAAAATGCAACACTAATTCAATAAAAATTCCTTTTAATACATTTAATGTTTAAAATTTCTATTAAGTTTTTGTCTTGTAAAAGACCTTATATTTCATAATTAAAAATACTGAACTTTATAATAAAAAAACTTATTTTTATTTACCAAAATTTTAAAAATGTAATTTAATGCTATCACTTTAGCTATCGATTTATCGGTTTTATTACCGTTCTCACTGAACCGTTCTAACTGTATACCGGTTCTCGTTAGATCACCGAAGTCAAGCATCATTGGGCGCGGTCAGTACTTGGGTGGGTGACCACCTGGGAACACCGCGTGCCGTTGGCAAATTTAGGACCTCAATGGCCGAGTGTCTAGCGCTCTGGCGCTCGGTGCCACAGGTTTCGGGTTCGAATGCCGGCGGTGCCATGGAAGTTTGTAGTGGTTCGGAATCCACTTTAAGCCGTAGGTCCCGGTCTCCTATGACTGTAGGAGCGTCACGGAGCAAAAGTCAGGCTTCTACCTACGGGTGCTCCATCACAACAGAAGCTGCTTCCTTCCCCTTCAATCATGAGTCCATATGGGCTCGTGGGCTTGGCCAGCCAAGTGGGATAAGAAACAACAACAACAACTGTATTCATTTTTACTTTGCATTGATAAAATTTACTTTTTAAGCTAACTTTTAGAAATTAATTACTTTCTATCCATTACTTTTATGTCGATGTATCATTAGTGAATTCAAATAAGTATAAGTACTGAACGTACTATTCATTTAATATTTAGTATCTCTTATTAAATTAACTGCATTTAATGTAGGGAAATATATATTTGTTAATTAGTTATTTTACGAGAGTTTTACAGAAAAATGATATAGTTTGTTTGTAAAAAAAATGTAATCATGATAGGATTAAGTAGATAGTTGTTAAATATGAAGTATTAATTTCACTTTTGAAACTACAACTGTAGTAATTTATTTTTGACGAAAATTTTTAAAAAATTGTGCAAATTCATTTATTTTAATAGATTTTATACCAGCTTTTTTAAGTCGTAAAATCTTTATGATGCAACGTAAGTTAAATGTTGGTTAATACCTCATTTTTATGACGCTAACAAAAATCACATAAAATTTCATTATTCATAAACTGTTTATTTTTAATTTTCTGTATAAAAATAATACAAAGACTATATAAGATTTCTCCCCAAAAAATAACAGTTTTAAAAATCACCTTGGTTATTTCTTGTTTGCAAGTTAAATGGTTTATAATAAACGATGGAATTATTATAATAACACTATATCATATTTAGGATTATAGTGTAGTAAAATTAAAATAACATACCATATAATATAAACTATAGAGTAAACTATAGAAACTAATCTAAAGTAATTTAATAGAAAACCAAATTGAGTATGCTATATAACAACAAAAAATATGCGGACCAAATTTTATATAATTAACTAATAAAAATATTTCAAATATTTTATGAAAACAAATACTTTAAAATGTTAGTATATATAAAATTTAATTATAATTTAAAATAAGCTATAAAAAACTTTTGGAAATTAGTGTAATTTAATAGAAAAATGCATTCCATATGTTATATAACAATAATAAATATTCAGACCAAACATTACATAATTAACTAATAAAATAGTTAAACAATTTTTATAAAAAATATAATTAATCCTGATTTCATATTTTAATAAAAAATGAAATACCTATTAATATTTTGCATTATTTTTATTATTTTCAGTAAAGAACACTTCAATCGTGAAAAACAAAAAAAAAAATTTTATGAGCTATTCTCACACCTCATCTAGTTTCATCTTAAAATTCATTAATTTTCTCATTAAACTTTTTAAGCCTCTAAAAATTCACAACGAAGTTCCTTCTCAATTTCTATAGACTGCAAATTAAAAGCTGATAAAAATGGACATAAACTAATAAAAAAAAAACTTCGTGAGAAAACAAAAGTTTCCAGTTTTAATTGACTTTTCAATACCTATCCAAACTCTTTATACTTACCGTATCTCCCTTAAACTTTACAGATTTGCTTAACAAAGACCTGATTGGACGGAAAAAAATATATCAATAAAGACATAAAGAGAATAAAAAGCAAAAACATAAGTAAAAAATAAATAAATACATAAAAAGGGAGTTGTACAACACAGCACAACCCATCTCAATCTATCTCGTTTCCGATCTATTGCACTTCTAATTCCAGAATGTTGCTGTGTTTTTATAGGCAGAACGTTAATCCAACGCATAGAGGGAAAAAAAGGGACATAAGATGGGGAAAAAGCAATAAAAGAGCCACAATGCAATTCCGGTTGTACTAATGGGCTGTATTGCTAATGTCTCGCATATAGCAAAGGACGTATGCATGTGGGCTTAATGGCATTAGTGAAATTGAGTAGGGCGATAAGGGATTTTGAACTGTAAGGAGGGAAATCGTTGGAGATGATTCGGTGACGAATTATCAATCTTGATTGAGTCCTGTGCTTAAGTGTAGGATGCTGTCTGGATTATTTTTTATAATGAAATTGACTTACAACATTTTAATTTTGCATTGGATTAATTTTTGTTTTAATTTTTTATACTTGTTTTGTCATTGGAAAAATGATTAATCAAGTAAATAAATAAATAATTATTAAAAGATTATTTGTGCTAATGCTTTTATATAATTACATATTTTAATAAAGAACACCTAATGATTTAGAAATTTTCCTATTTGCCTCACAATATTGTTTGTTTTAATTTAATAAAACGAAGTCAATGCTTTTCTTGCATAGTTATTAATTTACTCCTTCACAATAGTAGCGCATGTTGCTACTGGGACACGAGTCAAACTTAAAAGTATGACTGCAAAGGATTCAAACCTTAGTTCTTGCGCACAATAACTGTAGACGTTAACTGGGACACTTCAGTAAATATGTATAAAAAATTAAACAATATAATATATTAATGTATGTAAAATTTAACTGCAATATAAATTAACTTACAAAAACTTTAATGAAATTATGAAATTTAGCGTAATTCAATAGAAAATTATATTGAATAGGCGATATAACAAAAAAGTTATTTTGACTAAACTTGATATAAATAACTAATAAAAATATTTAAACAATTTTTATAAAAAAAATAATAAATTTTATTAAATGCTGGTATATATAAAATTTAACTATAATATCAATCAAGTTATAAAAAAGGTATGAAATTTAGTGTAATTTAATAGAAAAATACATTACATATGTTATATAAATACAATAAATATTCGGATCAACCATTATATAATTAAATAATAAAAATATTTAAACAAATTTTATTAAAATATATAATTGTTCTTTTTTAAGATGAAATGGATTCAAAATTTATTCCTTCCGCACACTAACTGCGCACGTTACTTCGAAAACTTCATTAACTCAAGTTTTATTCACTTTGAAATAATTATGTACATATAGAAAAATGTAAATATTACATGACGCTAGCATATATATACACATAACATATAAATTTAGCTATAAAAAGAATTAGGAAATTTAGTATAATTTAATAGAAAATTAGATTGAATAGGATATATAAATTGCTAAATAGATAAAATTAACTATTATATAACGTTAGCATATATACAGTGGGTAAAAACAGTATTGGCAATTGCCTTAATTTATTCATATTGACAAATAAATAAAATGTTATGCAATTTAAGCTGTCGTAATTAAATACAAGACATGTTAGATACATAAAAATAGTAAAAATTTTATTTTAATTCGCATTTTCTACGATTTTTTCTTCCAAAAACGAAAATTTGCATGTCAAAAAAGTATTGGCAAAGTTTTAACTGCTATGCAAATTTTGTTACATTGAAGTCACGTGTTCCGACTGATAAGAAACTCTACCGGTATAAAGTCTGCAAAACTACTCCAAAAGTGTCTATGCATTATTTTGCGATTACTGTAGTAAAATGACTTCAAAATCGAAGGAGTTGGACGTTAGTGTTAAAAACACGATTATTAGGCTCAGAAATGAAGGTTTAACTTATCGTGCTATAGGAGTGCAGTTCAATATAAGCTTATTTACTGTCAGAAGTGTTGTAAAAAAGTTCAAGAAAACAGGATCAACGGAAAATAAGACTAGAAGTGGACGACCTCGAATATTTTCTACAAGAGAAGAACGTGTCATTATTAACAAGGTTAAGAAAAACCCTAAAATAAGTGCACCCCAGATAGCTAGAGATGTTGCTTTCACTTCGCAAAAGACTTTCAGCGTGCAGACTGTACGGAATGTTTTACACGAGAGAAGTTATTATGGAAGGGCAGCTAGAAAAAAACCATTCATCTCGGAAATAAATAGGAGAAAGAAGTTAGATTTCGCAAAATCCCACGTTGATTTATCTGAAGAGTTTTGGAACACAGTTATTTTTTCCGACGAATCAAATTTTAACATTTTCGGCAGTGATGGACTACGATATGTGTGTAGGAGGCCAAATACTGAATTGGAAAAGCAACATTTAACTGCTACTGTAAAACATGGTGGAGGCAGCGTCTTAGTTTGGGGCTGTATGGCAGCTAATGGAATTGACAACCTGCATTTTATTCATGGTATTATGACAGCACGTACATACATTAACATTTTGCGTCATAACCTAAAAATCAGTGCCCAAAATCTTGGCTTGGGAACATCATTCGTTTTTCAACAAGACAATGACCCCAAGCATACAGCGAATCTCACCCGTGAATGGCTACTCTACAATGCTCTTCGTCAATTAAAAACCCCACCTCAATCGCCTGACATCAATCCAATTGAAAATTTATGGCACCTGCTGGATCTAGAAATCAAGAAACATAAAATTTCAAGTAAAGACGACCTCAAACGCGTACTCTTGCAAGAGTGGCACAAAATTCCCAACAGTACAACAAAGATCTTAGTTTCCTCTATGAGAAATAAATTACAAGCTGTTATAGATGCAGAAGGTATGCATACAAAGTACTAAACATATACTGATTTTGTTTTCTCTTATAATTTTGTCAATTTCATAATTTTGCCAATACTTTTTTTATCATGTAAATTTTGGATTTTCTCGTAGATTTTGACTAAAAAAATATCTAAATAAAAATTACGTTACATTTGTTTGTATTTTCTCCTTCTGTAATCGCTATGTTAAAATAAAATTTGTAAACATACTTTGTTAGCAAATATAATCATATATAGGCAATTGCCAATACTTTTTTTATCCACTGTATAACATTAAACTGTAATATAAATTAGCTATATAGAAACTTAGGAAATTTAGTGTAATTTAGTAGAAAATAATATTGAATATTCTATTTAACAACAATAAATATTGG